TTAGGGGTCATTCTAAACGCATTTCCGAAGGAGGCCAGAATTTTTTCGCACTTCGATTTTTCCCCTATACTTTACATGGGGGAATGGCACGGAAGTTACCGAAAATGTGCATGGCACGGAAGTTACATCATCAAACAAACCGTGAAAACGGACCAACCCGTTCACCAAATCGAACGGGTGTCTCGCCTAAAGTTTAAAAGACGTGAAAGCGCAAAATGGCCAGGTGGACCGAAGTCGATAGGTCGAGTAGCAAGCTCGCTATTGATGACACGGAATGTTACACTCAAACCTGACACATGCCGGATTTTTACCTTCGATGGTCTAGCTAGCCGGAATGGAGCCCTCCAGCGAAAATCCGCCTACCGCGCTGGAAAGAGGAAACCGTGCTGCTGATTCTGGACGCTGAGCCGAACTTTTCCCGCTACAGGTTCGGCGCTGAGGCGCGAAACTAAAGCTGACGATGTTTGAAATCCAGTACACGGTGGACATTTTTTCATCCAATAAAGCAGGAGGTGAGAGTCACTGGAAGAAATTGCTATCCAAGGGTGTCATAAAGGGTTGCCAACGGAACAAAAGGCTGTTCGCGGATTTGCTCTCCGACAAATAGTTCAGGAGATTTTCGCCTTGGAACACGGACTTTTTGGACAATGGACAGCACGGAAGTTACATTTTGCCCAGTTTTGGCCTGTTTTGACAGGGAAATGCTTGACCTGCATGCTCCGTTAGTGGGTGGGATAGCAGGGGAGATGAAGCCCAATCATAGGAATCAAACCGCAGGTCGATACGTTGAAAAATAAGGAAACTGTGGCCCAAAGACACAAAAGGACCCACAATTTTGGCAACTTCCCATAGGTCAAGTCGAGACATTTCAGAAACTATGCCGCAATCAGGCCCCGTCACCGGCAACGTCCTCAAAATCATCAATCAAGAACCTACATAGCCCCAACCCGCCTGACTGACTCACTGACTCACTCACTCATAGAAATGTTTAGGGTCAAGGGGTGGTCGTAGAGACTTGCGGTTTTTTCCATTCACCTCTATCCTTGTCAAAGCAGTCTTCAATATTTTCCGGACCTTGTATGCACCCATTGACTGCCACAGTAGCCAATGCAATTCAAGCTATCTATTTGGGCAGTAAAAGTAGCTTAATTATATGGTCAAAAGCTGTTAAATAGACCTTTCAAAGAAGCAGTACATTTACTTAATTAGAAAATTTGCCTCTGGTCACCACGGACTTACTGAAAATACTTCGGCACGCGCCCCACACATGCGGGGGTCTGGGGGCGGAGCCCCCAGCGAGCAGCGCGAGTTGATCTTTAACACTAGAACCGCGGAAGGGGTCAATTTGACCCCTTTTAATTTTCGTCATAAATTTTTCTGACTTATTTTTTTCTTCTCGGATTTGGGGCTTTTTGACTTTTTATAAATACCAGAAAAGAACATTTGAGTGAAATTTCGGCGCTGTCGGACCATTTTTGTAGGCGTAGGACAACAATATACCTAGAACCGCGGCAGGGGTCATTTTGACCCCTGTATTGTTTGCACTCAGGAAGTTCGAATTTTGGCAATAAAAAAGCGTCACAAGCGTCAATTTTAGTGGTGAATCATTTGGGAGTGCTATGGACTGCCCTGGGAGACCTAACTTGGCCAACGGCGTAGGCGACCCGCCGAGCAAACGCCTAAATGTATGCAAGATGCGTGTGTTCCGCGTAAGGTATCTGTCTGTAGAATAAAAAAATCTCATTCAACGAACGTTAAGGAAAGTAGATGATACTCGTTTGGTTTTCTTCGAGGTAGTAGTTCGGGCTTTTTTATAACTGTGTATGAGATAAATAGATAGCCCAATAATATACATGGACCTAAGCGAGCTGGCCAATGTCGGTGCGAGCCGAGCTGTGGCTTGCACCGGACGAGCCGTGAGACATTATTGCTGTTCTATGCGCACTGTACGCGGGGACAGGGGATTGTTGGCCGGTGCCGCTCGCGCTGTACCCGCGAGGTATTGTCGATGTTTCGAGCAGACTGCCTGCCATGCGACACTCACGATCCCGCCCGGCAGCCACCACCCTAATATTATTGTATTATTGTTAGGATACCGCTTGGTTTCTGGACTCAGCAGTAAAAGCACGGTGACACCTTTATGTGTCTAATAGTTTTAGATACGTTTCAAGTGTAAAGGTATCATCTGGTAAAAAATCTACGTCACTTAGTACCCATCCCCACACTGAATAACAGGAAAAGTTGCCATATACATCGGCAACTTTCGCCCGCCCCGTACATTGAGGAATGTATTAATTTCGCCTATTTTTAATCCGGACGGGACTTGAACCTGAGTCTGGGGTCAAAATAGATGTTTTTAGATCAGCATAAATTAGATCAGCACCCTCATACACATCAACAACAATGCAAAAACTCAAATAAAAAGAATGTTCTAAATGAACCCCACTGGGATTTGAACCCGGGTTCAAACCTCTCCGATTCGCTTGAAACTGGCTACCGTTGGTTTAGTCTCGTCGCCCCGATTCCAAAAATTTCCCTGCATGCTCTTCTAGCTGTATCCGTTACCGAAATCCTCCTCGACCTAAGGTAGACCATGATGCACCTGCAGCAGCGCCCCCGGGGCTCGGATCGAATTTGCTGGCAGCGGGCGGTTCTTAAGGGTCACCCAAGTAGGCTGCATATCAAATTTGGTCAAGATCGGACCACGGGAAGTCCTCAGACGGACAAACGAACGGACGGACACACAGCATGGATCATACTCCGCCCCTCCGTCATTTTTTTAACAAAAAATACAAGGGACGGGCCAAAAATGGTAGAAAAGGAGCAAAACAGGTTATTCGTGCCATGCGGGTTGCCTACCTTTGGCCTTTTAAAGCCCTACATAATTCAAAATATCATTGTTGATCTCAGATACATCATTTTACATCGTTAAGGGCCCATAACATGAGCAAAATAAGAAAAATACGGGCAGAAAAAATGGGGGGTCAAAATGACCCCTTCCGCGGTTCTAGGTATACGAAAAAGTCAGCGGTTCTAGTGTTAAACGAGGAATTACGTAGTACATTTTATGAATACGACTAAACCAGTTTCTCTTTTGTTAAAAAGTCAGACATACTGAAAATCAGGATCAGTGGATCCATACATGTGTGCTAGAGTCGGGACAGTAATTCCTATGAATTTTTTTTCAGAGGCGTTCGAGACTGTGTGCGCTTTGCCAGGGAAGGTGTTCACATTGAAGGACTTGGACAAGTCTTGGAGCACTACAGCGTCCTCTGGCTCAGCAAGAGAAAGCGGGAGGCCAACAAGTTCGGTGCGCCAAAACCGTCCACGGAAGCCGGCACGTTGCCGTGGAAGTGGCGCGAGGAGGCACAGACTCTACTGAACAAGATGGAGAACAGGCGTTAATGACTAAGGACTATACTAATATTAATTCATGTATAAATTTGTTGCATTAAGGGGGGACATCACTCCAAAATGATCAAAAATTGCAACTTTTTTTTAATAGTTTATATTATAGACCATTCCTTTCTGCGTCAAATGGTAAAAACCGCATCCCGGAATTCAAAAAATTGCAGTTTTAGTAGGTTGTGCGCCGCAAACATGCATAGGGGAAAAGCCCAGTTTCCCCAACTTTGATCGCGTTTTTCTCGGAACATGAAATTGCAAACGGTTGCAGGCCTCTAGGGCGCAGTTTTTGAGCTACAACGGGGAGATTTAGCATGGAAGCTCCTACAATATGCCGCTATGGTGGGTAGCAAAATAATTTGCATTGGTCAATTTTTATTATTTTTTTAACGTTTAAAATTAAACAATTTTGTCCAAAAAAAGTTAACAATAATTTTTGGTCAATAACATACACAACTTAAAATGATTTTTTAAATGTGATTGAGGTACCCACCATAGCCAGACATCTCAGGAAGGCTGTCACCAAATTTCAATGTTCTAGGTCAAACCGTTTGGCGTCCAGCGCTGCAACAGTGCGAAATGGTCTAACCTAACGCTCAAAAATGTGTTTTCAGCGAAAGCGCTGTACTGCCCTGGCGGATTGACTTTGTGTTGTTTTATACTTTATCTGTTAAAATATGAACAATTTTTCTCTTTCCGTTTGGTTTTTATGACGTTTTTACAAAGGCACTGTTTTTGGAGTGATGTCCCCCCTTAAATTGGACAGATTTATGTGTAACTTTCGTTGTTTTATATTTGCATGCCCCGCGGCATGTGCGTTCCTTGATTCCTGTTTCGAGCTCTGATCATTTTTTGCAAAGGTGTCTATCACATAGTTTTGGGGGGATTGGTTTTCCCCACATAACTGATGAACCTTGACTAGTCATCTTGTCTCATGCTCATGAAATTTCCTGCCAATGAAATTATGTGGATATTTTCTCACATATGTTCGTGTATTCAAAATAAAGTGAAAGGGTAGTCAGTAACTGTAGGGGTTGTGCGGTGCAAGAGGCCAAGCTTTTCAGAGAAGACCATTGGCACTGCCTCGAGGCTAGACGAAAGACGGGTGAGTGTGTAGGTTTCGATCAAAGATTATATGAGTGTCGTCTTAAGTGGTTCAAACATTTTCTTTTTCTGCAGACCTATTACAGGACTTTTGTCTTGCCATTGCGGCTTTCATGACAAGGTGCAGCATGCAGATGTTCAATCTGGTTGGTGAGGTACGTGTGCTGCATTACTAGATGCAACTGCTTCTTTTCACAAAAACTGACACGTACTTAATTTTTAATTTCTTTCCTTTATAAGGTTGAGCCCATTACCGAGTATCCGGTATTGAGGATACTCCTTGGAGCCACTGGATCTATATTTGACAGAGATATGAGAATGGAGTCAGTATACAAGTATCAGGTGCTGTGCAGCAGCCCAGCTGATGATAATTTTACAGTGGCCGATGGGGTCGATGCTCTGATGTCATCACTCTTTCTGTTTGATCTACAATACCACCCAACGATGACAGCTGTGTGGCGGTTACGCTGGTGGAGGCGTTTGAACGCCTTCTGGCGGCAAACAGCCATCTCAAGTTATGAAAAACTAATATCTCAAAGAAGAACTACAAGAAAGTACACCACCTACAAGGCGGTGGTCTCTACAAAGAAAAACCCTGGCCTACATGCCTTGCGGCAGGCCATTCTCTTTTACACAAGAAGTCCCCCCCACCCCCCTGTGTGGCGATTCCTTGCGGAGATAGTGTATGGCTTCCCTATGAATAGAATAAACCACGCATGGGGGACAAAACAGTACGCACTGATCGGTATGCAAAAATTAGTTAATGCAATAGTGTAGTATTTGGCCCAATTTTTCCAACTGTTACACCTTCCTGCGTTCATAGTTAAGATTTATTTGGCCCCAAGTTTTCTCACAGTACTTATGTAATTTCATCCACATCTCACCTTAACTTCATTTGCAAAGAAGAGATAACAGACTGAAGATTTAGATGGTAGTTCATTTTAATCTTCACAAACGCGTTTTTCTGATTGTACGTAATAATTTTACTGTGATTACTATGTGTTGTCGTAGGCGTGACAGTATCATACAGGGTATCACAAGGTGCACAAGGTAATAAGTGAATTCGGAAACTCTAGTTTGAAGTTCCATCTAATGACTTCTTAATCTTGGTGGCTGCGGTGGTGGTGTTAGTCCTTGATGTTGACTCTGCTAATGAGGATTGCAGTATTTAAGCACGTGAAAAGTTCCTTTTTATCGTCCATGAGGTTGACTTCGGCCCTCCAGACGTTGCCTGCAATGTTGATGTGGGCAATGGTCTCTCCCAGGGAGACGTCTAACGTCGCGTTTTCCAGAAAATAAATCCCCTGCAACATACGCAAAGAAGATTTACTTAGTTAGGGAGAATCTTAAACACCGTTGACCGGCCGGGGAGGTCGGTCAGAGAGGGGGCAAGAAGGGACGGGGTGGCTGTGAGGAGTGGGGACTGGCGCGGCTGTGAGGAGTGGGGACTGGCGCGGCGAGGCGGCGCGACAGGACGACAGACGACCAACACGACCATGTAGTCCCCTCTGAGCGCGCTGAATGGATGGATGGATGAATGGGATACGTGGGATCGTATGCAAAGCTAGAAGCGGTAGCAAGACCGCTTAATAATCGTGTCAAGATGTACTCTGCAAATCGAAAAGCGTAGCAGGCCTGCAAGCACGCGCTAGCTGGCGCATGCCTGCCAAGCAGGCACTCATTAGTACATACATGCCATGTACACGCTTCCCCTATCTCCCTATCTCTAATGCACTAGATGTATGCTTCAGTTGGCGTGTACATGGCATGTATGTACTAGTAAGTGCATACTTCGCAGCCATGCGCTGGCTAGAGCGTGCTTGCAGGCATGCTCCAGGAGGACCATAAAATGTACGCTTTTGGATTTGTAGAGTAAGATGGTGATCACCCACGAGGATGCACTTGAAACGTGCGACCCAATGTCTCACACTATCTAGTGCATGCCTGTTCCGCCACAATGGGATTTGCAATGTACCTTTGTGACGGGGCACTTGAAGTCAGGGCGAAAGGCGTTCATGAAACCACTCCACATCATGCCTTTGGTCGTGACCATGTTGCAGATCGCTGCGGTAAACGGCCAGGTGGCGAAGTACTCGCATGTGTTGGACGACACGGCCTCCCGACACTTGTGTAGCACGATCTTCATCTGCACAGGCAGAAAGTGTCACCCTGCTCGTTAATTACAGTCCGTCAAAGTGACTGAATAACACTCCTAACAGGAGGGCATTCTCCCCATATTACATTTGGAAACTTGATGGTGCATCGAAACGTTGGTCACTCGCACACGGTAAAAACGGAACCTGGTTTTCCCAGGAAGCCAATGGCTAATGCATACACTGTGGCAAAAAGGTACGGAAAATTCTTTTAATTTTTTTGCTAGGATTCTCCGTTGCCCTCTTATCAATATTCTCCGTAGGCTCTTACAGTATTCTCCGTAGGACCACACAGTCTTCTCCGTAGGGCTGGGAAGACTGTATAGCCATACGGAGAACACTGTAAGGTCCTACGGAAAATACTGTAAGAGCCTACGGAGAATACTGAGAAGGGGCCTACGGAGAATTACCACAACCTCTTTACAGAATTTTCCGTAGCTTTTAGCCACAGTGTAGGCGATTTCCAGGGAGTTTCTGGGAAAACCAGGAGACGTTTTTACCGTGTACTGTTAGTCCTGGTAGTCCTTACCCTAGCGGCGTTGTTAAAGACCTTGTTACAGACCCAATCCATTTAATTCAACCTGGAATATGGTGTTTCGCTGTCCAGCTCAAACTCTATCCGGCCTCCAACACCCACCCATTGTACCTGCTCACCACATTAATACAGTAAACAGTACGGTGAGGCATGTTGGCTCCATTCTGCCATCATACTGTGAATACCAGTCAGTGTGGGCAGAATGTTTCTTGGTTTAATTTTATAATTTACTCATACTTTGCTGTAAACTTTGTCCGAACAGGCTCATGGGAACTCGTGTCTGGGCTTGGAAAATTAACCGAGTCACTCAACAGCTGGAGTACTGAGTCTTAGTGATGACTCAATACTCAAACTGTTTCTCAATGGTTTGCACAAACATTCCCAAGAGGAAGCAGAGATGCGCGTTGCCAGCCATCAGCAACCCCGAAAATTACTTGCGGTAAAGATTTTTGTTATTTGTCTATCTGTGCTTGATTGTGCTGGCGAGACCAATTTCTCATAGGAAAAGTGGCATAAGTGTTCTCATAGTTAGTATTGTTTGTTATACAGCTGGATTACAATGTGAAGGGTTAGGTTAGTGTAAGGTAAGTGTAAGGTCTGCCGGGTTTCCGGGTCCGGGTGTCGCTTCTCCGGGTGTTTCTGTACAGTGTGTGTGTGTTGAGGATTAAAGAGTGATTATCCAGTTGAATCAAGTTCTTCTGTACCTACTACTCTTAGCCTACCTACCCTGAACAACAGGTTGCTCTACTGACAAGCACCTGAATTTATTTATATTCCTACTTTGTTTTGCAGCTGCCACCTCACTACTTGCGGCGGCACAAGGATAAGGTGAAATCTAGCAAAGCTTTCTCAGTAAATTGTTTATTTTACGTTGAACAGCTTTCTTTACGTTTATGTTCTTTCTTAGGTTGTATATGTCCGTGGAATTTTTCAGTGCACCAGTGAGGTGGCAGCCATTGAGAGCAGACTCGAGTGCTATGCCCACGATGATTGGGAAAGATATGTTGATGTCGTCCTTACAAGATTGTATGGAGACACTCTGATATGGTTGGCGGGGCAATGCAAGCGAAATACTGTAGAGATCAATCAGACCATGCACTGTTAAAAAATTCGGATTGAAATTTCATAACATGTTAATGTAATTATTATCACTTTTCTGTTATGAAATTTCATGGCGATTTTCTGCAATGAAATAAATTTCATTGCAGAAAATCACCATGAAATTTCATAGCAAAGTGTTGTGAAACTTCATTAAATTGTTAATGAAAATTCATATGCGAGTTTTGACATTTTATTTCCAATTGTGGTATTGTATTTCATAAACGGGTGATGTAATCTCGACCGGTATCTTGACTCTTAGTTCAATACCAGTTCTAAAAATTGCAAGCGGGCTAAGTCCACCTTAGACATAGAGCTTAACCCGGAGTGTAACTCAGTGAGATGAGTTGGCGGCAAGTTGTACTACAATCACGAGGAGGCTCTCGCTGGACCTAACCCAATGGCCGACTGTAGGCGCCAGCGAGTCGCAACATGGTTCTGCGTTTTTCTCGACTTCAGAGTAATATTTTGTTTAACACTTTTAGCATACGTCTAGAGTAGATATTCACTTAGGTAACCAAGGATAAACTTTTGAAAAAATATTGATTTTACTTAAATGAATAGGCAAAACTTACAAGTGAACGAACACGGCACTCCGAGCGCCACCTAGCGGCAGCTTCTTGAAACCTGACTTTGAGCCCAGGTGGCTGACAGGCCGCACCATGTGAGCAGTGGATTGACCACAGTTTGCGTTAAATGATACTAAAATTCTTTTTTGGTGCGACGTTTGATTTACTATACTCATATTATCACGCTACATTTACTCAGGGAAGAGCATAGGAATATTCCGAATCACGATTAGCTTCAAACTCAGTCAAACCTGAAGTTCCTTCCACCCGGGCAATGTGCACTGTTAAAAAATGGTTGTACAGAAATAATCAGATGAGTGAAAATTTAGTCGTTCCAAAACATAGAATTTCATCATGAACCAAAGCGAAACAAATGTCGTTGAGTCTAGTAAGCGACATTATGTCGTTGAAGGACAAAATTCTTGTTATCACTCTTTACGATACAATTTATGTGGAAACAACATCTTTTGCAATTATCTGCTCAATTAAAGCAAATTATGAATAATCATCTATTTTGTTCTTCTAAGTCATAGGGAAATTACTAATGTTTAAAAAAACCATGCTAAATAAATTTAGCGACAAAATAACTCTATGAATATAGTCGCAGACATTACAAAATACCTTTTGGACTTTCAATACTTGTCGTTGATGTGTTATTGTTGGTGCGTTATTACAATTTAGTCGTTGTGAAATTATCCCTTAGTTCCAATACGCCTACGGTTTAACAAGCTATTTGTTCCACAACAAATCTTGTCGCTAAAAAAGTTAGCAATAAATGTGTCGCTAAGTTACGTCAAAATTTTTATCAGTGTAAGAGCCATCAAAACCTGCCCATCACAAGTCAAAGACCGACATGAAATTTTATATCTTGGTTATAAATTTTCAGAACCACACTAAATTTGTAGTTTCACGTTTTGACTTTTGATCAAATTTCTTGACGTTTCATTGCAGACTTGATTTTTCAAGGAGATATTATAACGTTTCATGGAATGTGTTCTGACATTTCATTATATTTATGAAATTTTATGGCCGCTATGAAATTTAATTGCGTTCATGAATTTTCAATGCATATTTGTAATGAAAATTCATAACATTTTTAACAGTGTGTGGGTACAATGTGTGTCACACCCAAAGTAATGCGACAAAGCGGTTCGGTGTGTCACATTCGTTTGTCTGTAAATTTTCGCCGCTTGTCGCGCTTAAACTAACATCGCCGTATACACGTGAGGAACAACGTGACGTCACATTCGTCGGCCACCAATGCTGCACTGACCATAGTGAGCGCTTTAGCAGTCCTCGTGTACTCCATGACCGCGTTAAGGTAGACGACGCCGCGGCCGTCGACAAGCGACGAGTAGTTGTGCACTATCAGTGAGTGCTGCCGTTCATCCTTGCAGTGCTCCATGTACAGAACGCGGGGCACCAGGATGGTGTGTCGTCCGCCTGGCCGGCCCTGCAGCCCAACACAAGAACCATCACGTTAGGGCAGTGGTTCCCTTTGCGATAGTGAAGAAGAAGATAAGGAAGAAGATGCGGCGGTGGGGGTAAAACAAAACAAACCCTCATTTGTTGAGGCAGTGCGTCTGCTTGCGGGGCGGAGGCGTGTGGCGGCCATCGTGGCCGCCAAACAAATGAGGGTTTGTGATGTTCTACCCCCACCGCCGCATCTTCTCCTTTCTCTTCTTCACTATCGCAAAATACCTCATTCACTGCGGCAAAAGGCAAACAGAAAATTCTGTTATCGTTTATGTCACTACTCTCCGTAAGACCTCCTTCAGTATTCTCCGTAGCATCCCACAGTTTTCGGAGACTGCAAGGACACGGAGAATACTGTGAGGTCCTGCGGAGAATGCCTGACGCCCCGGAGAATCTTGAGAGGGCGTTACGAGAGATCTACACCTAGGATTTCTGACGAAAACATCGGCTTTTTGCTAAATGTGAATGCTTTGAACAGAACCCTCTTCAGTTTGTTGCAGGTATGCATAAGAATCCCTCCAATGTAGTGGTGATTACATTGAGGCATGGGGGTGGTGACACATTTGGCCGACTTCAAGACGAACCAGGAGATTAAGGAGTCTGGAGACGTGGTGTATATTCCACGGCGTCCTAGTCCTAAAGCTATTCATCATTTACGCACAGCTCTTGTGCTTGGTTTTGGGGTAAGTTTCGAATGTGAACGGAAACTAACGTACATTCTTCAAGGAGTAGCCCAGCACATTGGATGACTGATCTGCCCAGCCCAGCTGATAAGGACTTAGAAATGTAAAGGAGGAAGAGGAAGCTTACGAGAGGTTGGTAAATGGTACCTGGATGACAGTTACTCTTTTCCTTACTTCTCCCATCTTGCACTAGACCTCCCAAAAAACGAAGTCGGGTCGCGAGTTTGTGCCTTCTGGACTGGGTCCCGCTTTTGAAGGGTGAACGGGGCGAGGTGTCCGTGGGGAAGAGGACGTGTGTAACTAATTTGCGTCAATGCAATTTTTTCACCATAGCTAATTTATATTCGCAATGAAATTTTTCGTACTTTCTTTCTTAGAATGTTTGGAAACAACTAGGCTGTTTGACCACCTGACCAAGGACATCGAAGATTCTCCTTTGAACAGCAACGATCCACTCCACTCTTTGTTGCTGCACTTTCCTGTCTGCTCTGCGGGATAAGGAACATGTGAAGACGAAGCAGTCCTGAAGGCTAGAGAATATGTAAAGTACTGTTTGCGTGCTTTCCATGTGGACAGTGCCTCGCCGATAGTCGACTATTATTTCAATAATTTGGATAGGTTTCAAGAAAAGTCCCAAAGACCTGGTTATGACAATTTAGGTAAGTGTGTGGACTTACTTTGTCCAGTATTCATGATTCCTTTCTTGTTATTGTGCGTTAAAACAGAAGTAACAAGATTATCTTTTTTCACGTGACAATTGTGAAGATGCTAGAAGTGCAGAAAGTGACAGCAATGCAGCAGGCAGACTGCCAGTTGGAGGTTTTCTTTGCCCACAATACATATAACCTCCTCACAGAAAAACCCTTCGATGATGCAGAGCTTGTTGGAAGCACTGTGAAAGGAAAAATGTGCAATGCTCGGAAACTATGTATCTCATGGGGACAACGTTGGCCAAGCGTTGTGCCCATTAAAAAGCGCAGCTATTGAGCGCGAGTTAAAATATTTCTAGTGCTTTGGTTAGGTCTTCTTGTGTCTAAGCAGTGTATTTATTTATTCATCTTCTTTTGTAGGGACTTAAGATAGACGGGTGTCTTTTGAAGTTGAGAAACTTCCTCAGGCGTTCAACGATGGCGCCATTCTAACGAGGTGTAAGCCAGCATTCATCAATGCAGCAATTGGATCAGTGATAGTAAACGCCAAAAAGGTACAACAGAGCATTATTCCGACGTGTGCTTGTAGAAACCCAAAATGTGAACGAGCCGCAGAAAGAGGACATACTTAAGTCTAGGGTTAAAATGACAATAGTTAATAAATGGGTTGGGGAAGTTATAGGTAAATATAAGCGTAGGTAAAGAGAGCTGTGGCTAAGAGTCAGAAAGTAGATTAAGAGTTGGGAAGATTTAAGTTATAATTTCACGGAATAGTAAATTTGTTTGTAATTGTATATAAGTAGCTACTTCATATGTACTGTAAATTCGCTTGTAATTGTACAAAAGTGCAGCTGAATGTATTGTAAATTCCTTTGTAGTTGTAAGTGTAGCTTATTGCTTCATGCATTGTTAATTCGTTCGTAATTGCATTAAAGTGTTTTCAACCAAGTGTGCGTGCTAATTATCTAATGTTTGATTGCTAGTGTTATAAGGTTAAGTAAAAAAATGGAAATGCTAGTGAATTTTGAATTATTGCATGCCACTTTTGTGAGCGATCCGCACGCCCCAGGTAGGGTGGCCCACTTTTTTTTTAAGTTTCAAAAATTGAGGAGCGCCGTCCAGATTCTGAAAGTAGGTGTAAAATCATGAATTTTGATATAAATATGATTAGATTTGGACCATGTTTAGGGGTCCATCAACGCACCTGAACTTTAAAGAAAAATTGAAAATGGACTGGTTTACTAAAATCGATGTTGTTTCGAGAGTCTTTGACCGATTTTCGATTGCAAAACGGCGATCTTTTCGAAAAAGTGCGTTTCACTCGATGAGGTACATTACATAACGATCAAACGCATTGCCTATTTTCCAGGGGCGTACAATCTCGTTTTTAGCCCCTAAATCCAACATGTTCTTGCGTTTCGAAGGTGTTTGAGTCGTCCGATCGTATTGCTTGGGGCACCATTCGACGCGCCTGATCAAAACCTTTCAAAAACTGTCTCGGGCGTCAAAATCGGTTAGGTTGCCTACCGTACAGGAGCAAAAAACGCTGAAATTTGCCGGAAAAGTGCACTTTTGTGTTACAAAATATCTGGTTTGGCTTCTGGTCGGATTTTTTGTGGTGCCATTTGACGCGCCTGGTCAAAAACTTTCGATAACCGTCGCAGACGTCCAAAATCCGGTGGGTTGCCGACCCTACAAGCAAAAAATGTCGAATGTCAAAAATTCGTCTGGAGGATAGGCAACCCACCGGATTTGGACGTCTGCGACGGTTTTCGAAAGTTTTTGACCAGTCGCGTCAAATGGCACCACAAATAATCCGACCAGATGCTAAACCAGATATTTTGTATCACAAAAGTGCACTTTACCGGCAAATTTCAGTGGTTTTTTGGCAGGGTCGACATGAGCCCCATCCCGATTGAGCCCCGATGACCTGAGCCCCGACCAGAGCCCCGTTTGAGCCCGACTCGAGCCCCGACTCGAGCCCCGACTGAGCCCCGATGGCCAGAGCCCCGACCTGAGCCCGGTTTGAGCCCCGACCTGAGCCCCATTTGAGCCCCTTTTAAGCCCCACGCCAAAAAACTTCCATTTTTGAACTTTTTTAGTGAAGATTTTGCTCATATTGCAACTTTTTTGGCGCGGGGCTCAAATGGGGCTCAAACGGGGCTCAGGCCGGGGCTCAAAACGGGCTCAGGTCGGGGCTCTGGCAATCGGGGCTCAGTCGGGGCTCGAGTCGGGGCTCGAGTCGGGCTCGGCCGGGGCTCTGCCGGGGCTCAGGTCATCGGGGCTCAATCGGGACGGGGCTCATGTCGACCCTGCCGGTTTTTTGCTCCAGTACAGTAGGCAACCTAACCGATTTTGACGCCCGAGACATTTTTTGAAAGGTTTTGATCAGGCGCGTCGAATGGTACCCCAAACAATCCGATCAGACGACTCAAACACCTTCAAAGCGCAGGAACATGTTGGATTTAGGGGCTAAAAACGAGATTGTACGCCCCTGGAAAATAGGCAATGCGTTTGATCGTTATGTAATGTACCTCATCGAGTGAAACGCACTTTTTCGAAAAGATCGCCGTTTTGCAATCGAAAATCGGTCAAAGACTCTCGAAACAACATCGATTTTAGTAAACCAGTCCATTTTCAATTTTTCTTTAAAGTTCAGGTGCGTTGATGGACCCCTAAACATGGTCCAAATCTAATCATATTTATATCAAAATTCATGATTTTACACCTACTTTCAGAATCTGGACGGTGCTCCTCAAGTTTTGAAACTTTAAAAAAAAGTGGGCCACCCTAGCCCCAGGGCCGAAGGATTTCATTCGATGGTGGCGTATCTCTTCCACTGTGGTCGAAGAACCTCTGTAATCATGGCCGAAGAATCTCATTATGGTCGAACCCATGAACCCACACTGCTAGAAATTTTTGTTAATTGACGAAATATTTTAGCACGAAACATTTCGTAAAATATTCTTTAAAAAAGGTATCTTGAAATTAAGAGATTATTTCCTTCTTTGACATTATAAATCTTGTATTAGCCACAAAACGATATTTGTGATATTTTTAGCAAACATTTTGTAGACAAGTGAAACAGTTGTGAAATTGACAAAATACGTCGTAGAGATTGCCAAAGCCAGCTGGCCATCGAGCTTCAAATGCCCTTGAAGAGCTGTGGCAGCTAGGCTGCCGGCGGGCCAGAAAGTCCTGGTTTGGAGTCTCCGACGAACATTTTTTCTCAGCACTATTTGCTGCATGTTAGGGTGCATGTTACTTACAATTATCACATACGGAATGTTTATTAGATTTTCAAAGAATCTTGTAAATTGATGTTTACGATGAATTTTTGGACTATACGGCATATTTCATCAACTACGATTTACAAAGCTCTCGTTTATAAAAATTTCCAGCGAAATCTTTGTAAATTTACAAAAAAAAATTCGAACAGTGCATGTAAATGGGTACGGAAAAAAATGTACGGAACGTTCCGTAGTTGGCAAGTACGGACGGTCCAGGCAAATTATTAAGCAGACATGTTCATGTTCAGTACTCATCATATCATTTCTCAAATATTATTTCATCTTCTGGTTCCTCAGGAAACAAAGTTGCGAGGACAAGGACTCGCTCAGTGAAGGCAGATCAGTTCTATTTTAATCCAAACTGTACCACGTGTGCACGCGTGGGACAAACCGTGCCGCACACTGACGACCGTGGAACAGTTCGTCTGACACTTGGATTTCCAGTGCAGGGAGGCACAGTCCTTGGTGCAGAACAAGACCACCGATGCGACGGAGCGATTCATGTCGCATATGCCAAGAGATTGAGAGGAATGTAGAGTAAGTGAACGATTGTCATGCAACCCAGAGATACAACACCAATAAAAGTGTACTCTTTTCCTCGATGTAAAAATAGACCAAATTGACTGGAGAAGGCGCAGCAGTTGCTTCTCGTTCGGGCTTCGCAACACGTGTAATACTGTTCCCACTAACTCCAAGCCAAACTTGTCACATTCGGGCACATGGGTTTGGAACAAAAACACTGTGACTTACAGACTTCCGAAAGTCAGCGCTGTTCGTGAACGGAGCCAAGACGAGGATGACCAGAAGTTTGGCGTTCATAGCGGAGGAAAAGATTTACCTGCGAAGACAGACTTTACTGGTAGCCAACGAATGTGACGTCATATTCGTTCGAGTTAATTTTGTCACGTTTTGTTGAATATGTATAATGTCACATTCGGTTGAATGTTGATCCACGTTCAAACGAATGTGGCACCATATTCAAACGAACGTGACAAAATTCACACACGATTATGCTTGTAACAAAAAGGAAAAATCCTTTGAAGCCTGCGAAGGATTTTTTCTTTGTAGTACAAACAAAATCGTTTGTATTACAAACGATTTCCTTCGTACGCTGCGAAGCCTTCGCTTTCTTTGTACTACGACGAGCAGTTCTTTGTAGGAATTCATGTGTTTTCAATTTCGGATGCATAACAAGAATTAGGCACTGTCGTGATTTTCTTCCCGAGTGACTGAAAATTGCCATGGTTTCATCACAAGAAACGTGTGATATTGGCCGAAATCAGACGAGAGAGGACGTGAGGTCGAAGAGAAATGTAGCTGCTGAAGTACACTCTACAAATCGAAAAGCGTACATTGTATGCTCTAACTGGAGCATGCCTGCAAGCACGCTCTAGCTAGCGCATGCCTGCCAAGCATGCACTTACTAGTGCATACATGCTATGTACACGCTAACTGAAGCATGCATCTAGTGCATAAGGGATAGGGAGTTTCCTGCATCAGGAAGCGTGTACATGGCATGTATGCACTAGTAAGAGCATGCTTGGCAGGCATGCGCTGGCTAGAGTGTGCTTGCAGGCATGCTCCAGTTAGAGCATACACTGTACGCTCTTCGAGTTGTAGAGCAGTCAGTACGGAGTAGAACTGGGCAGACACACTTAGAACTCTCTAATGAACTGCTCGTTGTAATACAAAGAAATCGGAGGCTTCGCAACCTACGAAGGAAATCGTTTGTAATACTAACGATTTTGTTTGAACTACAAAGGAAAAATCTTTTGTAGCCTACGAAGAACTTCTTCGCAGCCTGCGAAGGATTTTTTCTTTGCGTTACAAACGATCTCCTTCGTAGGCTGCGAAGCCTCCATTTTCTTGGCATTACAACGAGCAGTTCTTTGTAGGAATTTATCTGTGGAGGAAGAACACCCCATATTTTACTTCAAATACCGTATGCACCGGCAAAACAACCATCAAAAGTTGTTTCGTGGAATCAGCGGATCATACATGAAAGTCATTGAGCCTGTGCATACAGTATTTGCAGTAAAATATGAGGTGAAGCAATTCTTCTCCTGTCCAGTATTTTTCGTACCGACCGCGGTACTGGCCCAAGTGTCCGTCCGACGCTCCTCCAATGTTACGTTTCTCATTGCTGTGGGCGGTGTTGTCAAACAGTGGCCGGCTCGCTTACCGAACGTATTGATGCCCCGGGCAGAACAGAGCTGTGACCTGCCGCACGGAACGGCCGGACCCAATGACCACGGCCATTCAACGCGATGGGAGAGGGTGAGGCGTCACACCGCCCATTGTGCCCGTTGAAAGCAGTTTTTGGCTTTTCACAGTTTGCCACCTGGGCAACAAAGCAGGTGCGGTCAACAACACGCTGCTCTCTAAATGGCCTCGGCGGCTTGCCTGGCCTGCGAGCAAGCCGCCTCACCCAAAAATACAAATGCTCGTTGTACGGCGTACAGGACCTGAGCCCCAACCTGACATCCCCCGACTTGTGCCCCAATTTTAGAGCCCGGATTGAGCCCCGAACTGAGCCCCGCTTGAGCCCTACTTGAGCTCCATGGCAATAAATCATGCAAAATTGCGTGATCTCAGCTCGCGGGCTCCGGGATCTGGAAATTGGGGCTTGGGTCGGGGCTCAACCCGGGCTCAGGAAATTGGGGCTTGGGTCGGGGCTCAACCCGGGCTCAGGTTGGGCCTCAGGTGGGCTCAGACCATCGGGGCTCAAACGGGACGGGGCTCATGTCCTGTATGCCCGTTGAACTTCACCCTGTCACCGCAGTAACTGCATTGGTAAAATAGTGGCACTGAAATGGTTTTCTGCTTGGTTGTGCAAGCACCAGTCTGAGCAGACTGTCAAATTTCAGCCCGCACCAACTGCTGCATGTGTGTGCCTTCGGTGGTGATAGAAAAAGAGTACTCCATAGAAGCTCTGGCCCGGAAGCAGAAGAACAAAAACGGAAGTAAGAAATTGCAGTTACGTACAATGAGAAATATACGCTGCGCACGAGGTCCGCAGCGTATATTTCCCATAGAAACTGCAATTTCTTACTTCCGTTTTCGTTCTTCTTCTTCCGGGCCAGAGCTTCTTTGAAGTACTCTATTCAGTAGCTGGTTGGGAGAAGAAATCATCCTCATGGCCGACTACTGTTTCTATCCAGTACTTTAAAAGATGTTTCAACAGCAATCCATCCCGACTCCATTCGGTTCAATGACCGACGCACAGTGGGCCAGAAAACCGGCGCCGGCGACCGATACTCAAGTTGCGCTTTGAGCACCAGAGTCGCGAAAGAGGACTCGAACCGCGCAAGTGATCCCACCGATGGATTCTTCGTTGGAAGAGCAATCCATTGATGGGGTCACAAGCCCGGTTAGAGTCCCATTTAGCGACTCTAGAGCTCAGAACTCATCAAGAGTTCTTGCCGCCTCCACTGGTTTTCTGGCCCACTGCGTGATCCCCCGTTGAGATGCGGCGATGCGAGCGAGACTTAACAACGATGCACTGTACGAAAACAGCCCCTAGTAGCCACTAAAAATCAGCTACACGAACACGGAAAAAAATTATTTCGCTAGATTAGCTGTTTGCTAGAGCAAAATTTGCTGGAATGACAAACAAATTCGCTATTTCAGTGCATTTGGGACGTCGATGTAGCGAACCTCCACTTGCTGTTCTACCGATAATTTATTACTTACTTTCCAACGAACATTTTTGCTGGAGGAGCGAACAATATGCGCTAACTTTTGAATGCTGTTCGAGCGATCTCCTTTTAATTGCCATCCAACGAACATTTCTGCTGGACAAGCGAACAATATTCGCTACATTAGTTTTCTGTGTGTTCTCTAGATAGCAAGGCTTTCCAAGCCAAGAGAAGACCTCTGGCCTGTTCTCCTCAGGTTGCTTGGTGGTCTCGTGGCAAAGCCTCTGACTGCTAACAAAGAATTCGAAGGTTCGATCCCGGGCAGAATTGGGCAAGGTTTACCACTAGTACCCTGATTACGAGATCGCCGACATTCCATTATCGGCCGATTGTCTTTTTGAAAGTCGCCAACAAACTTACGGTCATAATGTCAGCGAGAAGTGTTCGCTAACGTAGCGAACATCCTGGCAGCAAACACAATTTCGCTGTATTTTTTAGGAGATTTTTATGGCTAATTTAGCTCATATTTTTCGCTATTATAGTAAAAAATGTGCGCTGAAGTAGCGAATTTTCAGTAGCGAACAAAAGTTAGCCCGATCAGCGAAAATATTACTAGGTGCCCAAATGACGAACAAAATTTCGCTAGCTCAACAAAAATTTCGCTGGATCAGCGAAAAATTTTTTTCCGTGAACGCAACAACCTGAGCAGTGTGCATGGCACACTACATCTAGAGCGTGCCCGCATGCACGCTTCACCCAAGCGCACGGCTCGTTGAAGCGTGCATGCGGGGACGCTCCAGCTGGAGTGGGCCACGCACACTGTCCAGTTTGTGAAGAAAGAAGCCACCACTTGCTGACGCGCCCCCTCACACAGCAGGCCTTGCGCCTCGAGAACAGTACACTCTAAATTACTGTGTACTTTTTTGATGCTAAGCTCTGCACGAAATAGGGCATACGCGTACAACGCACGCATTTGTACGCCACAGCGCACGGTGCTGCATAGCAAAGCACAGAACCGTGTGAGTTACACACAAAAACGTGTGAAGAACTTCGAGCATAGATAAGCATCAACAAAGATGACAGTAATTTAGTTTGTACTTACGGCGCACTAAATTATTCTGTATTCTTTGTGCAGAAGCTATGCCCGAAACGGAGCACAGCTTGTGCACAGAAAACTACATAGTAATTAGTACTTGGAAAGGTGCCCATGTCAACCGCGAGCTGCACAGTGCCAAACCAAGTGTACGGTAAAAAACGAGTGTACGGTAAAAACTTTGTCGTGTTTAACAAGGACCGGTCACCTCACCTAAGGGTCTTGGCCCCTGGTTCTTAGGGAGACCCGTCTGGCTAAGGTAGCTCCTTAACCAAGCGTTTGTTTACATGGCGGCCATGTTGAGCCTACAGGGTGAGTTTTCTCAATGTGTCAATAATTTGCAGGCAGTTTGGGCATCCCTAGGGGACCATTTTTCACCAATGAACTAGTGGGCGCAAACGTCTAGATACGGAGATAATTGGTGTTTTGAACTTGGATTTTGCGCCTACAAGGTAGGCACCCGGTGCCACTGAGGGTGGCAGGACCTGTCGAGGGGGTGTCGCGGGACTAGCAGTACTCGCGGGAGTGCCACTTACCTCGCGGAAGTATCCGTGGAATCCCGCCACCCTCGCAAAGACAGCCGTGAGATCCACTGTAACGGGGGCCACCATGACAGCCCCTTGAGACCCGCGGCAACCCCTCCCAAAAGACATTTGAAAGGTCCGCCGCACCCCTTCGAGACTCGAAGCACCCCTCCTAGACCCGCGACACTCCCACGTGAGGTCCTGCGCCCATCAGTGGCAGCGGGTGCCTACCTCGCAGGCGCGAAGGCTAATTACAAAACACCAATTATCTCCGTACCTAGACGTTTGCGCCCACTAGTTCATTGGTAGAAAATGATCCCCTTGGGGTGCCCAAACTACCTACAAATTATTGACACATTGAGAAAACTCACCCTGTATAACCTAATTATACCGACGCTTCACGCTCAACAGACGGATTTAACCGACTAAAGGTAGTTAAAATTCATAAAATACCACGGTAAAATGTGCGATTTTTCCATTACGAGTGCTCGTTTGCTCGCTCGTTTGCCTCTGGATGATCTGGTTCATTCACGTTCGTGAAATATGTGGTCGGCTAAGGGAGCGCCGTAGCGTAAACGTAATCCAAATTTCTTTCAACAATCCTTCCTTCTTTTCGAAAAGCGAGTACAGAATCGGGTTCAGCGTTTATTTTTACGTGGGAAAACATGTTACATTGTGTTTTATTAGCTTATTTTCTGAATTCCTACAATTCGCAAATGTGAGGTTAAAAATGGCGGAACGCACTGCCCGGGTGGAAGGATCTGTAGTTCAAACTGCATCAGTGAGCTACTGTCTTTCTGTTCCTGTCAGTTCAGTTCCTTTTCAGAAATTTCAGCAGATGGAAGTTAAAGTTTAAATTGGTCTAAAAGAGGGATTTTTGAATAGATTTATTGATGTTTGTTTATTGTTAAGATGAAGTTTAAGTGCAGGTAAAGTGTAAAAAACTGCAGTTAAACTGCAGAAAAAGTACCAGTTATTTCGGACAACTATAGTTTCTGGCAGTTCTCCCCCTTAGTCGTGCCAGTTCCCACTACAGTTGCAGTACAGTTAGATTTCAGTTCAGAGCGAGATACTACTTTATTTAGAAGTAGTTGCACAACTCAAGAAACAGTGCAAACTTCGGCACATTAAATGTGCAAATCCAACTTAGATTCTACTTGCAAAATATCTGATTTCCCTCTCCAAGTACCTTTACGCTTCTATGTCAGTTTCCAAAGGAGGGGTTTCTTCAAATGAAACTAAAGAGACATTGTTAAATGCACCACTTTTATTTAACAGTTAGCAACAAAATGGTGTACAGCCAGATATCAGTTTCCCATGCAAAATGACGTTACAGTCCTGGCTCGCAACCTGCAAGAGTAACGGCATAAGTGAGACACTGGCAGAAAATTTACAAATAAAATGGTGGCGTTTCACTTTACTCACCTAGTTTCAATTCGCCCCCAATTAATAGCCATCCTCTATTCAGTTTCCAACTCGATGGTTTGGGCATTGGTCATCAACGAACACCTGAGCACATAAAAACAAGAAATATGAAGTTGAGATCTATTATAAATTAATCAACTTTAAGACATGAGGATGACTCACCAATAGTCCTCCCCAAATGTTGATTGATAAACAACTCATGTTGAGAACCCCCTGAAGACTTAAATAGTGAACGTGGTTAGGCCATCACTTCAACGCTGTGTGTTATGCAAAGACACCAGTAGAGCACCTGTCGAACAAAAAGAAGAACCATTCACATTACAAACTGGCCGGAACATTGAGCAGAAGAACACAACAAATGAGAGTGCTGAAGATGACTCACCGAGCATCCAAGTAGTCTACTAGAAACTCTTTGTTCAGAAAAGACATGGGCATTCTCGAGTCCTCTGAACCGATTCAAGCAACACTGCCTCTGTTCATTTCAACATTCCCCACCTGTAAAGAAAGCAAATATCAATACTTAGCTTAACACGAGAAAGTTCTGTGAGGGAAGAAATATGGAAAATGGAGACACTCACACACATTCCATCTTGATCACTATGGGTCACACCAGCTTCTGAATGGAACACAAGACGACTCCATGGTTTCTGTGGTTGACTTATCAGGTGTGGCGTGTGGAGGTTAGGTAACCAAAGTGGAGGGAGATAGAGTCTGGGATCCTCTGAATCCATTCCAGCCACTGTGAACGTTCGTCTGAATACTCAGCCTGCTGAAGGAGAATGCAAGTAACAATGGTTAGCCTTACACTTGAAAATTTTGAAGAATGAACAAGATATAGCTCAAATAATAAATATAAGCACTTACGAACGTTCCACGCAAAAAGAATCTTCTCCCCCACGAATCATAACACCATCAGTCACATCAGCTGGAGTGAAGGTTATGTGACAAATGTTGCTGGAGATGGCCACTGCAATAAGAACGGACGGATCAGTCATAAACTTCTGCTAAATTGGTGGTGAGGTAAAGAGCATGTGGGACCGGGTGGGGTGAACACTTCAAAATGTCGCGTGGTAAAAAGAAATCACGAAAGTGTTTGGTATCAGTGGCTCACGATCACCATAAACCGAGGGAGAGAAACTCACGTGAAAATGACGGCATTTCTCGCACAAAATGTGAAGTGCTTGTAGGCTTGAGGTAGCTTGAGGATAAAGAGCTCAGAATTTGGCGTCTTCAGAAGAGTTTAGCAGAGTTTTCGATGGCCTAACCGCACAGATCACACAACAAACGTCGAGCACAGCGAGCCGCCATCTTGAGAGTCGAGCTTCCGGCTGCGGCCCGTCCGGCACCGGCAACTGTCTGTTGTTGCCAACCTCACCACGTTTGAAATCTGCCGGCATGAAGCCATCAATTTCAATATAATACCTTAATTAAAAATAAAAAAACTTCATAAATTTAATTTTAAAAAATACTACTGCCTCAAATATATTGACATTTAGCAACCATTGTTCGTTTTACCTCCAGTCATTGCGCATGTGGCTCACCTGGCTGGGAGGAAAAAGCAGGAAAAGAACAAGAAAACAAACTATAAATTGAAGGCCCATTGATCTGAAATTTCAGTTGCCGGTGTGACAATTTCCCAAGTGGTGGAAAGCTTCATTTGTGATCTGTGATCGTGTTGCCAGTTTCTAGGAGTTTGCGTTTGTTCACTATTCGCTTCAGTGTTTCCTACGAGTTGTGTGTCATCATGCCTCGCTCGTCTAACAAGACTCCGGAAGATCGTCATGCGTTGGTCAAATGGACCGAAGGTGTCCATGCCGGCATGTACACACACAATGTGGCTTTGGACTGGATTCATGATTTTGATGCTACGTCTCCGCGCTACCCCGAGACGTACGCCATCGATTGGCGTGTGCCTCCCAAGCCCCGAAGCGGATGGCCCGTTATTGAAGGGCTCGTTTTGGACATCAGCTGTGAGTTCCCCCATTTCACCTGCCAGCTGCATTTTGTATTTTCTTAGCTGTCTGACTCCAATGAAATGCCGCACGCGCCGCAGGGCTCTCTTGCATTGTCATGTTTCCTGTTGTCTGTTACCTTTTACTCATGAGAGGTTATCTGTTCCAGCTGATCTTGAGTACCTCAAGTCTAAAGCTGATCAGCTTACCAAGAAGGACCAACAACGCCTCAACTCCAGTGGAAGGAATGACAACGAAGATGCTGGCTCCTCATCCAGTGAGAGAGATTCCAACCTCATGGATGTCAATTCAGAAGGTATGTTTTCCCACTCCAGTTTCTGATCTGATTGTGTAGGCTCGCATTGTTCACTTAAATCAAAATTTCTTTCAGCATTCATCGCTTTAGTTGCTCGTCTTTCGAAGAGTCATGCCAATCAGAGTACTGGTAGTTCCTCCTCAAGCAGGAGTTCTTCCTTCAGCAACAGGAGTTGCTCGAATGAATCTACTTCACCTCCGCCACAGCAAAAGGTACATCATTTCTGTATTTTTCTTGTGTCACAATGCAAGTTTGTTGCCTAGCGTTGCTTCACTAGTTCTACTTTGTTGTGTATCTTATCATTTTATCTCTTTCCCCAGGTGAGCGTGGGCAAGAGTTTGTGTGTTGACAAAACTGTCTACACATTGGCATTGAATGCTGGTTCACCAGGGCGCATGGTGCGACCCCTACTCCGTCAGGCTTTCTCCAGGCGACGTTTAATTGCCTCCACATATGCTGGTCAGAAGAGGATGGTGGACGGCAATCTTCGTGTTAAACCTTCCCTAAAGAAGTATCAGAAGATGGCTGATATACACAGTATGTTTTAAATTATCCATTGCGTTGGTTGTATTCCCTTTTGCATATGCATGTTTTTGACTCCGGATTCATTTCTTTTCAGGTTTTGTACTTCGGAAGTATCCTTACCTTTCTCAATCCAACTTTGGAGCTATTGTGAACAGCTTTTTAGGAGAGAAACCTAACGCAATCCAGAATATAGAGGTGAGTTAACTTCACTAACTATGATAGTTAATTTTAGTGTGTCTTGCTTCTCATAACTTGTTTTCTTTCTGTGTTTCAGTATGTTGAAGACAGCTCAGAGAGTGAATCTGAATGATTTCTACTGCAAGTTCTGCCTGAATTTTATTATTTTACTGTGTACTTTTGTACTGTGTACAAAATTTTATTTTACTGTGTACATATGAAATGTCCATGATTTTCTCTTGGTTCCAATAAACCATCTCCATAACAACATTTATCTTGTCAGTATTGTCTCTCCTTCAAGAAAGTCCTCTCTCTACTTTTGGTTACCACAATACACTTATATAATTCAGAGCTTATGAACTTTGGACCTACTGTTTGAATAAAGATTGGAAACATTCCTTCAAGGGTGTAGGTTGCTAGAAACTTCTTGAATAGGTGGAAAGATGAGTATGTAACCATCTTGATTTGTTCAAAGAACAGTCACATTATGAACTGAGTAAAAGGAAATTGTAGGGTGGGCCAGAAGAGGTAATGAGCTAAATAAAAATCAGTCAGATTTAATTCTTTTATTACAAAAATAAGAAACAACCACATAGCAAGAATTAAAGTATTCACAAGGACTAGAACAACCTATGAGAACTTTCAGACAGAAGTCAAGGCTTTACCTTTATTTTATTAAAACTCAAGACTAGGACAATTTGCGAGAACTTACTGTAAAAATGACACAACTGCATTGCAAGAATTTAAGTTTACTCAAGACTAGGACAACTTACGAGAACTTTATTGTGAAAATGAGACACAACCACCGCAAAGAATTGATCACACAGGACTACCACAACTGCAGAGAACTTTAATACAGAAGTCAAGGCTTTATACAATGTCAAGCAGAGGACTGAAAAATAAATAAGAATGCATGTTGAGCTGCCATAAAGATTGGTTTTATTAAACATTATTTTCCAGTTGCAGATCTCAAACGCTCTTCAAGATCAGCAATTTTCTTGAGTAGACCATCCCGTTCACATTGTGAGCACAGAGGCTCAACTTCCAGTTCCTCCTCGTGTTCTGCCAATGATTTCTTGTGCTGCTCATATCCACCAGGTAACTTGCTCAAAGAGTGACGATAGACATGGCAATGCCACAATGCATGTTCAAGTCTCTCATTGGCAACACGCACATCTTTCTCCAGTTTTTTAATCTAAAGGAACAGGAGCAAAATTTAGACTTTCCGTTGCAGGTTGCACTTGTGACTTGAATCATTGACAATAAATTAATAATGAACTACATTTGTACCTGTTTAGCTTGATTGTCCACAATATCATCCCATGTCTCATGATGACCACAAAGCTCCTGAGAAGTTCCACTTCCACTGCTGTCAGACATTGTGCTGTGTTCTTCTGGTCACTACTGCTTGGTGGTCTGCTGAGAGAAAAGTGGGGCTGCCCATAAACAGGCAGAGTGGCCTAGTAAACTCACGGGAGGAGGGGTATATCTCCCTGCTCTCTCCCACCCCTTCCACTCCCTACTTCCCCTCTGATCCAACTGAACAATACCCCTCCCTTCCCTCCCCCCTGTTTCTTATGATTGAATTGTGGAATTGTAAAATTCTACCAAAAAATAATTTCTGCTTATAGATTTAAGCTTAACTTTTTACTTTCATTTCATTTTACAGAACACAAGAGAAATATGTTTATTAAAATTTTTGGAGGTTTCATTGAAAAAGAAAAAAATCTAATGTGTATTCAAATCCATCTGATGAGCGAATAATGCACATGTTCAAATTCATTGATATGAGTTGGGACTTAAATTTTAGTCAAAATTTTAGTCAAAATAGTCAACATAATATTTTTAATCGCAGCCTGATTCTCCATCTAAAATCAAATACAGACCAATGCCGCATAGCAATGATGGGCGTTCTTAAGAGCTATTTCCCCCGAAGTACAGTTAAAAAAACTAAAATATATTAAGTAGTAAGAAAAATAAAATACCTCAAAACAAAAAAAAAAGGAAATACAAGCAATGGAAAACATGATTATAGGACAAGGTATAAAATAAAACAAATTACAATTGGTAGTCCATTAAAAGCAAATTGCATAAAAAAATTATTCTACAAATCTCTTATAAAAAATACACTGGTAACAAAGAAGATGAGAGGTTGAAGGAGAAGCAGATAATACATAAGGATAATACATTCAATGGAGCATTTCCATTTGTAGTACATCAACACAAGCAAATCTGAGAGGCCCAGAATCAGAAATGTTAAGTGAGAATGAAAGAAGTTTCACATCAAAGTGAGAAATAGGAACACATCTTAATGTTTCTTCAACCTCTTCATTAAATATTTTGACATGAGGAATTTGATCATTGCAGAGTCTTGTATGATTTCTTACTAGATAGTGTCCTAATGCAATGCCAATATTATCAATAACTATGAAAGAGTGGATTTAAAAAACCCTATCGTCTGATAATAAAACTATAGAATTGTTCTGCTTTTCAGCTTTAGAGTAAGCAACTGACTGATACACAACACCATTTACACTACACCTGTCAAACATAAAATATTCTTTGCCAAGCACAGCCTCAATTCCCTCTCTCACAATTGTACGATGCAAGTTAGGAGCCAAAAGAACAGTTTTTGGCACACCATGGAAACCTACATCACCAATAGTAAGATAAGGTTGTACCAATGGACTAGCAGCACACATTACAGACTGGAAGAAGGCCTTCTCCTTTTCACTCATAGCATGTTCTAAATCTTTATACATAGCATTTAAAGCAATTTTTAATTGCATATACTTTGAAATCTGATGGGCAACTCCATTACCGCTATGAACAGCTGACTTAATTTCACCATTGAAACTTTCAAAAACAAATGCAGAGTGGGTCCAAGGCTGAGCAAAATTAATAGTACTAGTTCCTAAATGTGTAAGTAAATGTGTACTAAAAGTGACATGTTCTGGTCCATATAATGTATCAATCTCAACATTAAACTGTCTCAGAAATCTTCTGGCATGAACTACATCACTTTTAGATACGGAATTCTGCATCAGAATTACAATTCCACGTACCAAAAGACTCCAGTGGTTGAGGTAGCGCTTGGGCAGAATTCCTGCCAAGACTGGAATACTATAAAAAACAACCCAGTGGAACCACTCATGACCTCTCCAATCTGAACGATCCTCTAAAGAGCGAGGAGCTCTTGAGACAGTATCAGTGATTGTTATGGACAGTAAACGTCGATCAACCTCATTCAACCTGGACCTTACACTGAAGTCTTTAGATGAATATCTCTTACTAAACCACAAGTTTGCAAACCTCTTGGCACAGTTGACAAGCGCATGAAATAGATCAAGGTCCAGGCAATTAACAATATCGAACCCTGGTATTTCAGTTAAGATGGAAAGACCCTTGATGCCACGTTGTGCTTTGTTCCTTCTGATTGCTTTCCTGGCAAGCTCAACAGTTTCTTCATGTGTCCTTGGAGGATACTCTCTGGTTGAAATAGTATAAGATCTGCAGGAGCCACGACCTCTCCTCATTCGGAAACCCGGATGGTAACACAATCCACATCCGAATGCACCTGCAATCATACATGGAGATATCAGAAGGAAAATATTACAGAAACGATTAACATCTGAGTTTGTAAAATTAATACAGTACTCACCATTGAATTGGGTTGAACATCTAAGGAGTGGCCGAGCCACTGAATCACTCACACACATGAGAGGTACAATCTTGAAAGTTTTATCCTGCCCATTGATCTTAATGGTGATGCCATTTCTTTGTAGCTCCACGCATTCTTTGATAAACGGCTTCAGATATTCATTCATATTCGGTTTTCCTTTTCCAAGCCACACATTTGCCATTAGAACATGCTTCCTTCTCAAATGAAGAGGAAGTTCATTAATTGATATTAAAACAGGCCAAGCAGAGAATTTGGTAGTCAAGCCAACCTGCAACAAACAAACATTTTAAACTTAAAACTTTTAAAAAAATTTCTACCACAGATAAAGGCATGGGCATAATAACAGGAAGAAGAATGATAAAAGAATAATACTTTATAATAAAACGGCTCACCTGAAGACCATCAACAAAGAAATTAAACGATATGCGTGCCAAGTCAACCAATTTCTTGTAGAGCTTCCCATCTTGAATGTCCTCATAGTTTCCAGGCTTAATCTTTTTCCGATGCCGGGGGTTAACAAGTTCCTTTGCCAGACCATTCATGAGGAGAGATTTGATTTGCTCACCCACAGACAAATACAGGAATACATTCCCCTTCTTCTTATTACGTTTAGCATCAACTTCATTGTGGCAGTCATCACATTCTTTCATTCTATCAATAACTCCAATGTAAACACCACAGTGTGGACAGATATGATGTTCTGACAAGGAAGAAGAATAAAGCGAAATGGCAGTCTTCAACATGTACTTGGTGGGAGAAAATAAACTAGCTTCTGACAGCACGCCTGCAAGTCGCATAATGCATTCAGCAGCTGTATAAGTCAGATTGTGAGCAAATTTAACGGCCAGTAAAAGCAGCACTGTGATTCTTTGCGCCACACTCAGGTGAAGGTCACTGGCAGCGGCTAACACCTCATCATCATCACTGTTGTCAGGATCTTCACCAAATGCAGAATTTTCAGCTCTTGGCGTTGAAAGATTGCTCTCACCATCAGAATTCAATGCATCCTAAAAATAAAAACGAGAACTTATAAATTGCTTTCAGGGTTTTAATAAACAAACAAAAAAAAAAGGCATACCTCATCATCGTTCTCCTCACATAACTCATCATCGTTCTCCTCACATAATTCATCATCCTTATCTGGCATTTCGGTAGTTTGAGGGTCTTGCACAAAATGCCACTCTTCATCTTGAGACAGCGGCTCTGTAGATGGAACCCTGCAGAGGAAGGAAGAAATAAATAATAAAGAGCACTGATAATAAAATTCATTTGGATGATTATTATTCAGCAGTGTATACCTAGCTGTCAGGGGTGCTTCATCGGAAACCGTACTTGTGGATGGAGTGCATCTTTCTTCTGATGGGGTATTCCTCGCTCCAAATGATAATGACGAAGGGCTTGGCTGCTGAACTTCAGTGGATTGGAAACAGCCAGAAAGAATCTGTGACGACTCTGTAGATAGAACCCTAAGAGGAAGTTAGAAATAAATATTAAGGAACAATGATAATTCAATGCATCTAAATTATTATTATTGAAGGATCTATACCTCGCTGTCAGGGGTGCTTCGCCTGAAATAGTACTTGTGGACGGAGTGCATCCTGAAATAGTACTTGTGGACGGAGTGCATCTTTCTTCAATGTTGCTTGGGCTCTCAACTTCCATGGATTGAATACTGCAAGGGACATCTTCACTAGCTTTCCTCCGCCTGCAAACAAAAACGAAAGGTGATAAATGATCTAAATAAAATCAAAGAGAGAGGGAAAGGTTATGTATCATTGCACTCGGGTCTGAAAGAATCCCTTCGACACGAGTGCACCGTTTCGATGCAGGCGACAGGTTAGCGGTACCCGCTAATAATCCATAGCAGAAAACCGAGCCATTCAAAGCATCATTTCGTCGCTTCTCGCTCCCCAATGGGGCGCCCCAGAGACAGACAGAGAAACGATTCTACTGGAATCAGTTCGCAGATACACTCACTTTTTGCGAGGCGGCGGATGAATGGCAGCGAGGACCGTCGATTTTGGAGCTGGCGTCCGCGATTCCTTAAACTCATACTGTTTGTATGGTCCACGTTTCCCCGACATGACAAGACGCCTCTCGCAGAGCGCACGTCAACAAGTGGGGACGAGGCGAGGGGCGGGTGGGCGGATGAGCCGGCGGGCCGGCGGCTCCTTGGCTCCTGCCTCGCTGCTGGGGCCTGGCCTGACTGACTGGCCAGGCCAGCCGTGAGCAGCCGTGAGACATCCGAGCCGAGCAGCCGAAGCCGAGCCAAGCCGAGCCAGCACGAGCCGAGCCGGGCGAGCCGGGCGCAAGGTAGGCCAGCCTCAGCACACCCATGTGTTGCGGGACGCGTTGGTGGCCTACCTGGCAGGCGCTACGAGCCCGAAGGCGCTGCCTTTGCGCTAACTTTAGATTGTCGTTTTGCAGGCTGTAATGTGGGCAACTCAACGACTGTCACACTTTGTGTTATTAAATTGGCTGCAGTTTTGGCTGTTGATACAAGTATCCTCCCACTGTGGTAGCAGATGCACATGGAAATACAGAACTGACTCATGTCTCAACACTGCTCTGAATCTAGTCAAACGGAAGTCTCACTATCTTGTAAAGTGCTCTTTTGGTGCGCACCTTTTCTGACAGAGAAACTGCAGTTGAACTAGAGTTTTCACAAACTTTGGCAGTGCAGTCCACACTGTAGAGCGGAAAACAGTTCAATCTGCACTTTTCCGTCAAAAGTGACTGCAGTTTTACAACTGCAGTTTTGGCACTGCAGTTAAAACTGCAGTTGAACTGCAGATCCTTCCACCCGGGTGGGCTAGTGGCTAAGGAGGGTACCTTAGCCAGAGGCGTCTCCCTAAGGACTAGGGGCCATGACCCTTAGCTGAGGTCACCGGTCCTTGTAAAACACGACGAAGTTTTTACCCTGAGCACACTTTCCGCTGCAGAGTGCATCTACACAATACACACGAATACGGAGCGTTCAGACAGCAAACTCTACACTTCCCAGAAAATTGCGAATTCCACGCCTCCTTATTTCAAGTGCCGAGTCCAGACTGCTGGCAACCTCGCAGAAAAGGCAAGCACGGCAGCTCAAACGCATAGCAAAAAGTCTAACGAAGCCTCGCTCCGCAACACGCCGAAAACGAAGTTTAAGGGGAGGTTCTGGTGAAAATGCTATTTTCTCCTAAATAGGTCCCGCTGTGAAAATTAGTAAAAAATTTGATGTTTTTCCAATTAATTAATAAAATTTTCATTGGGGACTCACATTCTATGCTCTGAACCCAGTTGCTGAGCCATTTTCTCCTATTTAGGCTGTAACTTTAAAAATCTTCTTGCGCATACTATTTTGTCGGAAAAGGTTGGCCTTGGCATTTTTCACTTCTTCGATTCATTTTTGAAAGATGCCGGCATGCACAACTCAATATGTAAATAACATTTTCATTCGCAAGCTTTCTAACCAATCATGTCACTATAATGGAGCAAAAATGTACAAAATAGACAAATTTTAGGGACTTTTCAGCTTAAAAAGCTTACAGTTAATAATATAATGGAAATTTTGAGCTATGCATGCCGGAATTTTTTGAAAATGAATCAAAGAAGTGAAAAATGTCAAGGTCAACCTTTTACGACAAAATAGTATGCGCAAGGAGATTTTTTAAGATACAGCCGAAATAGGCTCAAAAAGACTCTTCGACTGGGTTCAGAGCCTGGCATGTGCCTTCAAAAATCAAATTTTAGTCTCCTCAAAGAAAGATCTTATATTCCGAACAAATTATGACACTGAGATCCATTTGGGAAATGGCAAGATTTTCACCAGAACCTCCCCTTAAGACAAATTGCTTCGTAATACGAAGAAAAATCGTGCGTCTCGAGAAGCATCTCTTCATAATACGAAGCAATCCTACCAGGCCTTCATTTTTTTCTTAGTTACGGAACAAAAACTTCAAACACTCATGATCGCGGATGCCTTTTCGTCGGGGTGCAGCGCACAGCACTCCAAATCCGAAGGTGAAACTTTCAGTACCTTTCTTGAGAAACAATCGTGAAACGCCAACAAAGAGCCGCTCAAAAAGCCTTGCCTTGAAGAGGCGATATACAAAGGTAACGCCTAAAACTTGGCGGTACTTCCGCATATCGCCTTGACTCTCTGTAAGGCCCTTTCTTGCACACTCAACTACTACTCGGTCTTTTGGTGCACAGCTTTGCGCAAAATGGCGTCTACGTTTAGCAATGCACGAACTCCTACGTAGCGAAGCATGAAAAATTGCATTGCTATGCAGCAATTTTCCGAGCATTTCACGCGTTAGCTCATTGCGCGAAGCTAGGCACGAAAAAATCTACACAGTAAATTAGTGTTTGGCGATACACACTTGCGTCGCTAAGACAGGTACTGAAAGTATCACCTTTGAATTTGGAGTGCAGCGAACACGTGCGGCGAGCGTGAGTGAGTTGTGGACGAGGCGACTGCGGCTGGACCGAAACCGACAGGCCTGGAAGCTGGAAGGAGACTGACTAGTGAACAGCGTTGCCAGAAGCCGAACAGCGCTCGGTGGTACGGGGAGGGGGAAAAGGTGGTACTTCGGGGCTCTTCGGTGGTACGCGAGGGGTGGGGGAAAGGTGGTACATTGGAGCCGTATGGTGGTACGGAAAGGGGGGGGCTTAAAATTTACGTTAGGCGTAAACATCGGGAATTTAGAATTTGGCCAAATTGAGAATTCTGAAGAAGTCAGCGGCGGCTCCTCCGGCTGGTGTACAAGCAAGCAGGCCCGTTTTGTTGCCCGCTTGCCTAGGGCGGGGCCCAAAAGTGGCACTGCACTTTCAGTTTCCCGCGTCCGACCTGACCGATCAGAGCCCCTTTCCTTGGAATAGGTCACGGACGCAGGCAAAGGATTACACGCTCGATTTCTGGGGGACGACATTCCGACCCAGGCGCCCGAAAAGTTCCATTTGCCTGCGTGCGGACCTAATCCGGTGTTTTCTCGGAAAAGGTGGTACGGAATCGCTCGGTGGTGGTACTGGTACGGTGGTACGGGGCTCGAAATAGTGGTACATGTACTACCAAGGAAGGTGGTACGTCTGGCAAGACGTAGCAGACGACGCTGCTAGCACGTCGCTTCGCCCGAGCACTGGTCGCGCCCGAATGCACCCGAACGCGCTCGGCTGCGCGCTAAGGCGCCCGAGCGTCTTCGGGGTTATTTTCCGCTGGGGAGCGCAGCCTGAGCCTGACGTCGGCCGGCGACGGACCGGACCTCGTTTCCGGGAAATCCTCCCCGCGGAAAGGTTTCCGCCGCGGGCACGGTGACCGCGGGCAACCGAATACGCCCGGTTCGACTATCCAAAGAGTCTACCAAGCTTTTGTTTCGTAACAACGAAGAAAATTTAGGCTTTGTGGAATTGCCTCGATTGTGAAGAAATCCTTCGTACGACGACGGAGCCTTACAGGGCCTCACCTTACAATGCCAGCGTTCCTTTCGCAGACTTATTAGAAACAGATTGGCCGTTTAAAAGCGCGCAGCTGGTTCCAGCTTTCTTTTATTTCTTTTGCCCTACAAACTCAAGTGTGTACAACGCATGCTTCAGGTTGAAGCATGCCTGCAGAGAAAGACACAACCCCTGGAGCCAACATGGCATGTACACTCCACGCTAGGGCATGCTTGCCAAGTACACGCCTGGTGGCGTGTACATACGAGTACACTGCGAGGGGTGAATCACGAGTGTACTCATGTGTACAAATTTGCCCGTACTCAGTGTACTCACAAGTTTAAAAAGGGTAAAATTCACCAGTTTTTCGACCGATTTAGCGTTGAGTGCCTTTTAAAACGCTTAATAAAGCCTTAAAACGTTTATAAACGTGAAATTTATGAGTAAAGCATGGTGTACTCACGCGTACTCTTGTACTCATGTGGTACACTAGGACGCGGAGTGATCCACCCCTCGGTACACTGTTGCTCTGCTTTACGTTCAAAAAGTAAGGGCCTTCATCAACAATGTGCCTGCAGGTACATGACACCTGGCGTGTACTTGGCAAGCATGCTCCGCTCCAGCGTTGAGTACACATGCTAGTTTGGCTCCGGGCGGAGTATACTTGCAGGCAGGCTTCAACCTGAACTTGAGAGGAAAAGGGGAGGAGTGCACGCTGCCGCTGCCCGAGGTCTGTTGCTTCCAGAGCTTCCGCCGCCGATCGTCGCCAGGAGAGGACATTTGGCGCTACGGTCGCGCCGAGCTGGTCGTCTGCGGTTTTGAGTCTGCAGGCGCGGAACCACATTTTGGTGCATGCAACTATGTGATAACAGGAAAAGTAGCGATATACATCGGCAACTTTGGCCCGTCCCGTACATTAAGAAACGTACGAATTTCGCCTATGTTTGACCCTGACGGGAATTAAACCTGAGTCTGGGGTTAAAATAAATGTCGTTTTCGTCATCAGCACCCTCGAAAACATCAAAAACAATGCAAAAACTCGAATAAAAAGAATGTTCAAAAAATACTCCGCTGGGATTTGAACCCGGGTCCGAAGTTCTCCGATTCGCTCGAAACTGGCACCATTGGTTTTCTCTCGTCGCCCCGATTCCAAAAATACCCCTACATGCCCTCCTAGCTGCATCCGTTGCCGAGATCCTCCTCGACCCCATGTAGACCATGATGCACCTGCAGCAGCGCCCCCGGGGCTCGGATCGGATTTGCTGCCACCGGGCGGTTCTTAGGGTCACCCAAGGACACGGTAAACACGGTACCTGGTTTTCCCAGGAGCCCTATGGCGAAGATATAGGCGATTTCCAGGGGGTTCCTGGGAAACCAGGAACCGTTTTTACCGTGGAGGCTGCATACCAAATTCGGTCAAGATCGGACCACGGGAAGTCCCTCCGGGGAATGCCCGTCCCTCCGTCATTTTTTTACAAAAAATAAACGGGACGGGCCAAAAACTAAACGCGTGAGACCCAAACAGAGTATTGCCGTGGGTTCTTCAGAGCTTTACGTGGTGGATGATTACACAAATAAGTAGAATCTTTTCAAATACAACGGAAAATAAATGAAAACTGTCAGTAAGGTAGCCGCCGAGGGCGCCCTCCGTCGCCCTCCGTGGCCAACGGCGGGTGGTGGAAGCTCTGGAAGCGACAGACATCGGCCCACGGATCCGAACGGCAGTTTACGTCGAATTATTTATATTTAGGATTTTTTCTCTTAAAATTTAAGTTGA